AATCGTAGTCGTACCCACCTTCATCCAGCTGATGCTGTTGCCATGGTTTCCTGAGAGCCCCAGGTATCTCCTCATAGAGAAACACAACGTCCATGCCACTATAACAGGTGAGTGTTAGGGCACGAGCTGAAGTACAAAAGTTATATATATAACAAGATTTTTTTATTTTTTTTTTTTATTTGAAAATTGAACTGTGCGCTGTACCCACCCGCCCCTCCGTTCCTGTCTTTCAGCTCTAAAGTGGTACAGAAACAACTGTGACATCCAGGCGGAGATTGAAGAGATGCAGGAGGAGCAACACTCCTTATCGTCGGTCGAAACGCTGTCAGTGTGGAGGCTTCTGCACGACGACACGGTCCGCTGGCAGGTGCTAACTGTGGCGGTGATCAACATCGGGATGCAGCTGTCTGGCATCGATGCTGTAAGACATTTATGTTTCTGTGGAAATGCAATGTACAGATTTATAGGTGTGTTTAATCAAGGTTATTAATAGCTGATGTTTATCAACAACAATTGGTCCTAAAATTTGCCATGGGGGCTGGGTCAGGGGCAGATAGATGGAGTGTTTGCGTAAACTAAGGTAATTGACATGTAAAAGTCATGAGTAAAGGCCAAAAAGGTTAAAATACATTTGTCATTTCCTACGCCATCTATTGGGGAAACATGGGTATTGCAGGTAAAAGGCAGAAGTATAATGATAAAATATAATAAATTATATAATTTGGTAAAGTTTGGCAGGCCAGATTAAAAACCTGAACGGGCCACATCCGGCCCCCGGGCCTTAGTTTGCCCATGCCTGGTCTAAACCAAGTACTCAACAATACATACAAAAAATATATATATTTTATATAAATATATATGAAATATATATAAATATATATAAACATATATTTTTAAATTGTGAGATTTCCAATCAGGCATTAAAGTGGACAAGGAGGGCACATGGGGACATGGTAAAAAAAAACAGAGTGTTATGGTCGGAACACAAAAAGCAGTGTGTTCCTGTCGTACAGTTAGATCACATGCTCTGAATGGCACCTCTGTAAAAAGTGCAGATGATTAGGATGAGTTGTGTCACTCAGTCAGGAGTGTTTCTAAACACCCCCTTTGGGGGTCAAAGGCCAACGGTAGCCGTCCCTCATGACCTGGGTTACCTCCCCCATTGAGAAGCCCCTGCACTCAGTTTAGGAAGAAAAGGCCCACTAGAGGTCCTCAGTGGTGTGCTTTATGAGGAACTTGGTACTCCATTGATGCCAGAGGCAGTCAACAATAATCTTCAGAGATTGTATTTTATTATCAATGTTGGGGGACGAGGGCAGACCAACGTGCTGTGTGCCGTATTTGTTTTGGTAAAATGTTTTATGTCATTATCTTTAATAAGCTGTTATTAAAAAAATCTAAAATATGTTTTTCCCTTCCAGATCTGGTTTTATACCAACAGCATCTTTGAAAACGCTGGTATCCCAGGACCAGAGATCGAGTACACCACAGCGGGGACAGGAGTCATAGAGATCATCGCTGGACTCGTTGGTGTAGGCTTCTTTTCGCTGGACGGCCTTATCAGGTTGTCAAGATAAATGTTGCAACATTGAAATCAAACATACCAACTCCTACTCTCCTGCAGTGTTTTACCATAGAGAAGCTGGGCAGGAGGCCACTGATGATTGGGGGCTTTGCCGTAATGGGTATCTGCAGTGCTGGAATCACATTATCACTGATTTTACAGGTATGTGCACTATTTTTATTTTTTTACCAAACTGTGAAAAAGCTGTGTAATTTAAGGATTTTTATTTTTGGACAAGTTGGTTCTGTATAAATTTTTTTATACATTTTTGTAAAACTTCTGAGGGGAGAGGAACCGCTTCTTTTAATTTTAGTTTTAATATATATCCGTATATACCATATATAAAATGATACATCAGGTAAATAAAGTTAATGAAATATACATATATATGTATTTATATAAACATATATGCACACGGTTTTATTTAATAAATAACCGTATTTATATGCTTTAATGGAACATATATTGCGATATTATATGTATTTAATATATGTATATATATATATATATCTTGACTTTTTTTTCTTTTCTTTTTTTTCAATTTTGCTGCAGGTTCATCTACTCTTCATGCGCTACATCAGTGTCTGCTGTGTGGTTGGCATCATTGCAGGCTTCTGTATTGGTCCAGGCAAGTTATTTTACACTGCATATCTCCAAAAGGACAAAATCCTTGAAAGAACTTTAGATAAGAAAGTTATTAAAAAAGCTATGCTAACACGGCTGCATATGGCAACCCACTGGCTTTACTTATCTGGCCCGTCAATAATCATGTTTATGAAGGTGTCCATGTTGTGGTAATGGTAAAGTTTTTTACGTTGCATTTTCAGTTGATGCCGCTAGATGGCGACAGAAACAATTTACCCATGCTTGAGGGTGGCCTATCGTTTTACTTACGAGGTTCCAAGCTACCAGACTTTTCCGGTCTTATGGAAAGAAGAGCTTTTATTTTGACTGCAGTGACAGGATTCCCAGTTACATCTAGTTGTGTGTACTGACACACGTCAAGACGCTCGTCTACTTAGTGTAATACGGCCCTAGAGGGACTTTACCCATTGTCTGAAATTAAACTGTTGCAGTGAAACAAGTTGTAAGCACCCAGTAATTAGCGTTGGGATGACTTGTGATGTATTTCTGGAAAGTTTCTGTTGTCTTAGTTGACAAAATAAGAAATTTTTTATTATATTTTTTTTTTTTTTTTTTTGCGTTATAGCCGGTGTTCCCTTCCTGATCACAGCCGAGCTGTTCAAACAATCCCACCGTCCTGCTGCTTACATCATCGGAGGATCCCTCAACTGGCTCTCCAATTTTACTGTGGGCTTTGTCTTTCCTTTCCTACAGGTACGTCACTACGCTTAAAAATGTATAAAATAAAATGAATTGAGCTTATACAATTAGACGAACTGCAAATGACATTTTTGTATTTATTTATTTTTTTTCTCCAATGTCTGGTCCACCTGCCACATCCTTTGGTCAGAGGTCAGCAGGATCTTACTGCTACTTGGTATTTGCCACCATTTGTTTGTCTGTGGCGGTCTACGTTTACATTGTGCTCCCCGAAACCAAAAACAAGACCTTCATGGAGATCAGCCGAATGTTTTCTAAGAAGGGCTCTGTCTTAGAGACCCAGGCTCTAGTCCACGTGGACCAGTTGAAGCTCAAAAAGATGAATGGCTACGGGGGATTGGACAATACAGCAATGGAACCGGAGACCTCATCTCCTGCATTGATATCCAACCGGCCTTTTCCAGGTAACACAAATCGAATTGGTTGACAATGAACTTTCACTCGGGCCACGTTCCTACTCATTTACGTTTAGTCTGAATGTTTGGTTTTTCTGTTGCGTGTTTGCATTTGAGGTTTTTTTGTTTTGTTTTTTTTAACGTAGGTTACTGCATGGAAAGATTGATCAATTGTTTTCTTAACTGGTTTTAAAATGTATACAGGCGATTTTGTAAACATCCTGGCAATTTATAGTAAAAATTTATAGTAAAAAACAGTGTACAAACACGTGGGAAATAATATACGAGAAATCTTTTAAAAAGGAAAAACACTGATAATTGTAAAGCCTCGTGCTCCGTGTTGTGCGTTCCGATTCGTTGCGCTTCACTCGCACCACTTGAGAAATGAACCGCTTTTTAACGAGTTAGCGTGCATCGTTTGAGAAACCCCATGTCCGCTGTTTCGTTTGTACCGCGATATCGTGTTTCCATTTTGCAAAAAAAAAAACAAAAAAAAACAAAAACCAAAACTGTGAAGGTTTAAAACAAAATATATACCAACCATTGAAATATGTCTCCTTTGAATCAAATAAGGCTGGATTAAATGCTGCTGTAACAGAAGACACAGTCGTGTGTGTGCGTGCGCGTGCGTGTGTGCGTGCCAGCACATCTACATCATCAAGTCCTAAGGGAGATTTGTTAAGTGCTTAAAAGGCTGTGGCAGTCTGACCTATAGCGGGGGGGGGCGAGGAGGGGGGGGGGGGGGGGGGGGGGGGGGGGGGTGAAAGTGCACGTTTCCCTCTTTATACACACACATATACTATGAATAGATACATCTGTCTGACTGACGGCATCCGTACCGAATAGAACTTTTTTTTTTCATGTAAAGAAAGGTGTGGTAGAAATACATATTATATTGTAATTCTACTGCACCTTTTTAATGTCTGGCGTGTAACTTTGTAAATTTGCCCAAGTCATACGGCATCATATTTCCGGGTTACAAAGCGAATGTGTGCTCTCCTGTCTGCGCTTTACGGTAAATAGCCTCTCTTGCTCCTTGCGGAAAGTGCCACCAGTGGAGACTGGTCGTGTGTTTAAAGCTCGTTGCCTCGCCTTCAGCGGCCATAAAAGCTGCAGGAAGAATTCTTGCCCGTGTTTAACCTTTCAGAGACCGTCACAATTGGTGTAATGCACCCTACATTTGTTAAATTAATTAGCGACACTAGTCCGACTGGGTCTCCATTCACTGTCCCTTCACTGGAAAATGTCATAGGGACGTGTTATTTCTTTGTTCGTACACAGCTCTCAAGGCTCTAAAAAGAACAAAACACTAATACACAGCTCAATACGCAAGATGGCTTTCGGCCGGTGTGACGTGACCCTCGCTCTTTTGTAAAGGGAGATTACCTTTAATCCTATCCAAAGTCATTGTATCCCGCAGCACTTCAATGGCCCCTGTCTCAACAAGTAGTGAAACTTCACAACTACCTGCAATGGTGGATCCCCCCAACAGTAGTTAAAAGGGAGTCTGCCTCATTGAATGACAATGCAACTGTTTCCTAGCTGGGATCCTAAAAGATGTCAATTGGCACTATCAAGTACTTTATGATGCCTTATACTCGAAGCACAATAGCATACGACGACTGGCCGAGCTGCGACTTGAGCCGTGGTGTGATCATTAATTAAAAACAGAGCAGCGGTCTGATTGGGCGTTAATAGTCGGACGTAGTATTCCTTCAAAACGGCTCGGTTGGACTGGGGCCTAAATTCATAGTATTCGAGCCGGGTCTTTTGAGAGGTGGGTGTACTACCATGTGATACTGGCTCGGTCAACACCTCACATAACACTGCATGTGTTGCTGGTGAGTGCAACCTACACTATGTATATGGGTTACTGCCCATGACAATGGAACTCAATCAACACATCGTGGAATGCGACTGACAGCCAGCCTTACCGCACTCCATCAGCTTATATCGATGCTAATCCGTAGTATTTTGCGATCTGCTTGCACAGAAGTCAATAAGTTTCAATGTATCATTTTGCGAGAAGACGGGAAAATCCTAATATATAGAATTACACTGAGGATCAATTCACTGCAATACGTTTAAATGTATCATTTTGCGATTTTCGCTCTTTCCTTTAATGTAGTCATCCTTACCAAGGGCAACGAGGGATGGCTAACCTGGGTCCTTCTCGTCGCATGCTACAAATATAATCAATTTTCCTTAAAACCTCGATGAGCTTTGAATTTTTTCGTTTAGTCAGAAAAGTCAGTGATGATGATTTAATATCTTCTCTACGTGAATGTGTTTTTGCTGACACCAAGCCCCGGAGCTACATCGTGGCAGCGCGGTATATGTTGCTTTACAGCTGGAAGATCACTGGTTCGATCCCAAGTGGTAATTGTTTGCATGTGCTCCCAGCGTGAACACAGGTTTTTGTCTTGGACTTGGGATTCCTTCCAGCGTCCAAAAACATGCAGTGTGGGAATGGAAGGTTAACTCGACAATTTTCTTTTTTTTTCATCTCCATAAGGTTCAGTCAGTTCAGTTTTTTTGTTTGTAAAAAACCAAATTCACAAAACACATTTTTGAATGGACGTTTTTAAAGTTAAAATGAATAGAACACTAGTACAACAGGTAAATACACTGAATGTACTGTATAATACTGTCAATATATATTGACCTTTCAGCCACAACGTAAAGCAAAGCAGAATAGGTTTTTACAGATGAAATCCAAACTACATCACACAGTGGAGAGAAAATTCGGTTTTAGTCGGCTTAAACAAAGAGATGAAGGAGGAACGGGGGGGAGACAGCTGAGGGGAGGGAGGGAGGGAGGAAAGAGAGAGCAGGAGCGGACGCGCAACGCTATAATCTGAGTACAGTCGCACAAGCTGTTAAGGTGCAGTTACAGCACAGTGCAGTTGTAGGAAGAACATCGTCTTTGTTTGAGTTAGCTGTAAAAGTAGCTTTGACGAGTTTGGTTGTATCAGTTGACGAACAGTGACGTCAGAGTCAGGTCTGGATCAGGTCCTTTTCTAATGTGTATCTTTTTCTTAGAAGTTAGGTGGAGAACGAGTGGTCATTACGGGAGTACTCCCAGCAGTCTAGGCCTACAGCAGCATAACCGAGGCAAAACTCAGGGTTTACTTGAGTCAGGCCTAGGAAAATGATGATATCTATATACTGTATATTATGATGAATGACATAGAGAGGGTGTCAGGTTTCGTAAGCCAGACTGGCGGCTGGTTAAAAGTCCCTCCCTATAAGACCAATTCTGATTGGCCCCACATTTAGGCTGCAAAAACATTATGTTGGGGTTTAGAATGTAACACTGTTACTGCATTTTTTTTTGGCATTTGTCTAATAAATGCAGTATTAATACGAGTAGTAAATGCATGTAATCCCAAATTTAAGACATACATATAAAAAAATATATATGAAAAAATTTAGTAGAGTCAAACTACTGTAACAGTACAGTTTAAGATGGCAGAAGAAGAACGTCCAGAAGTAATTACCTTAATATCAGTGTCAAGTTCACGTGACTCCATACAAACCAATTTGTGTACATTTATGTTTGTGCAAATTCAGGTTTTACCCTCACATTTGGGGTTTAGAGGATTTGCAGGCATGGTGAGAATGCTTAGGTCGGAGCACACCGGGGCCAAGAGAGCTGTGGTCAGAGGTGTGTCCAACCTTGCTGGGTGGAGCTCAGTCCACATACAGCCCAGCACAAACTGACCATTTGTAACCTATGATTTTAACCACAGCCGCATTCTGAACCTGGCCCGGAAGATGCTCTGATCTGTGAGGTTGACCTAGGTCAAGTTTTAGCTTTACAGCCTACCAGACAGCGGTGCTTCACTGAGGAGGATGTTAAAAATAAATAATTTTAGGCTATTTTAGGAACTGATGACCCTTGAATGCATCAGAACTGACCTGATATTCTATAGGCTAAGACTCGTTTCCTGACATGATAAATGTAGGACCACTTTTTTTTATCCCCCTCGTTTCCTGACATGATAAATGTAGGATCACTTTCTTTATTCCTATGTTACCTGTAACAGCAATGCTATTACGTTACACTTAAGATGTGCTCTGAATTATGTTACATGTATTTTATAATTAACAATTTCATCGCTAAATATCCAATAATCCAAAATCATATTCATACCAATGCTCATTTTAGAGTATATTTAACTGATTTCCCTCTTGTTTTTTAATTGTATATGTTAAACAAGATATTCATTAGCACGGACATATAGAAGCTAATGCTAATAAATGGGTCGGGAAGCAAAACCGTTACTCATCAGAGTCCAGCGGTACATGTAAGTCACTAGTTGACTACTGGTTGACCAGGACTTCCTTTGTGGTAAGGCAGTACTTCGGGTAAACCAGGAAAGGTTAGTGCGAAGTTAGTCCCCTAGCATATGCTACCAACGTTAGCTCTGCAAACATTTTTTTACCTTTAGCTTGTTTTTGTTTGTTGTTGTTTTTGCCTGTTAAATGAGTACAAACGTTTTCATAAAACATCTTTTCCTCTCAGATCCGGAGACCAGGTTCTCGACTACGTCTTACTTCTCAATAACATTCACGTCTCATACCGTCGCTCGCAACGACGGGATTTTTCCCTTCCTGCGTCGAGTTCATTTTTCTTTCTTCCAGATCCAGCTTCATGTGTCTCGGTGAGTGTTTTCAACTTTGGAGAAGCAAAAACATCTCATTGCAATTTGTTAAAATCACAGCACATCCTCAGTAGATTTACCAGTCACCACAGCTATGATAATTCCACTGTAAGCAGTGAGCTTGTTGGCCGCAACAATAAGCGGTGGCAACTGACTGGAGAGGAGGCTGAGAGAGGGAGCGCGGGAGAGAGTGCGAATAGAGAAATATGTGAGGAGAAATATCCTGTGTGTGATGTTTTCATCGGAATCTGTGACATGTGCTACGATTGTCCTTGGAGGCGCCTGAAAAAAAAAATGAGGCGAGGCGATAGGACAACGCAACGCACGTACTTTAGACTTAAACACGGAAATATTTTGTTTGTTTCATCGTTACCTGAAACACTATTTATTCTTTTTTTTTTTTTAACTGGTATTTAGCGGAATATTTGGGGAAACAACGCCATGGCTTCAGAAGGAGAAAGACGAGGCAGCTATATTTGTCAAAGTACATGTATTGTACATACGCGATCTAACCGTGGGCTGCATACAAGTGCCCTATTGTGGTTCCAGATTCTAGTGGTTAGCATACCTGTCTTGCAAGTAAAGAGCATCCTTGAGGAAACATGTAGCCTGTGCGTTCCAACCATGTACTCAATGGCGCCTCCGGTGGCCGCCTGTGTCAGTTGCGAAGACTCGCACTATATTTCCCCATTTCCATCTCTTATTTTAAAGTGGGGTGAGTGGTGCTGGCTCCAAGACACCATAGGCCAACATACTGTACACTTCACCACTGGTCGACCAATAATGAGATTTAAACTGAAAAAGCGTCCAAT